TAATCCAGGCCAAGGGTCCTCTCGAGGCTAGTAATGGACGTAGTGTGACAATAACACCTAGTGTGTAGGCTCGGGGCATGACACATACCTCATAGAGATCACCCTTTGACAAAATCCATAAGCGATTCTTGAAGAACATGACAATTCTTGCTCCATCACCTCTTTTATCTTCTCTAAAATCCTAACTCAATATCATAAAATCGTAAACTGAATCCTATCAGTTTCGACCCCAATTAATTATAAAAAAAAAGCAATTACTTCATGGGGAATGTAAAAGGCCATAACTTCCTTCAAAAATCCTGTTTAGAATTTTCTTATTCAAACAACCCAACTTCAAATAGGCATATCTCACTCTACGAACTCAAAATTGTGCACACTTAGTGGCGTTGGAAGGATAAGTCCAAGATATTTCCAACATTGTTTGAAGAACACCTAAGTTATCCTGAGATAGTATTTATGGTCATTTGAAGTTAACAATAAACCCAAACATAAAATAACTTAATCAATTTCCACATTTATTATTCTTTCCTAAAATGATTATTTCCAATTCTAACTCTTTCAATTTCATTCAATTACCAGGATACTATAATATCTCCTCATTGGGAACATTCTTCCTCGAATGAGATTACACTTAGTAGGCTGAGGGAGTAACAACTGACATTCAAATAAAGCACCTAACAAGTAATGCGCAAACAACATAAAAATTTATAAATTAAACGGTACTAATAAGAGAATTAGTACATTGGCATGAAATTTCTCTTCATTAAAAGAGATGTGAATATGTTTTCTTCCTATGTTCCTCAGTTTCCCAAGTAGCATCCTCAACAAACTGATTCGTCCAAAGTACTTTGGCTGATGCTACCTCTTTTATTCTCAGCTTGCAAACATGACGATTTAGATTGTGAACAGATATCTTCTCATTAGATAAGCTATCCTTGATGCTAATATTTTTCCGTTGGTATGGTCAATGAAGGATCGCTCATGCACCTCTTAAACATGAAGATGTGAAATAACAGATGAATTGTAGCTAACTATTGTGGTACCTCCAACTTATAAGCTACATTACAATCTCTTTTTGATATTTCGTAAGAGATAATATACCGGGGGACTAAGACTCCTCTTCTTACAAAATCTCATAACACTCTTCAACTGTGAAACTTTCAAGTAGACCCAATCTTATACTTTGAATCCTAACTAGCTTCTCCTAACATCAAATTAGGATTTCTGACGACTTTGTGTTGTTTTCCCACTCTCATAAATCAATTGCATCTTTTCCATAGCTTGATGAACTAAATCTCATACTATGAACCTATCTTCACTAACTTCCAACTATCCCATAGAAAATCTACATCTTCTCCCATGAATATCTTCATAAGGAGTCATTTGGATGCTAGAGTGGTAAGTATTGTTGTAAGAAAATTCAATAAAGAGGTATGTAATAATCCCTATTACCTTTTATTGTCAACCACATTCGCCTAAACATATCCTCTAAGATTGGGATAGTACGTTATGCTTGCCCATTTGTCTGAGGTTGAAAGCCAATACTTAAGTTCACCTTTGAATCTAAGCCTTTTAGGAAGGACTTCAAAAACATTGGAGTAAATTTCGCACTTATGTCATAAAATGGAGACCGGAACTTCATTAAGTTTTACTACCTCATAAATAAATAACTTGGCATAAACCTCTATTGAATGTGTAGTCTTTACCTGCAAAAAGTGGGTTGATTTAGTCATTCTATCGCCAAAACAGAACTGTGTTGCCTATGAGATCTTTATAAACCTTTAATGAAGTCAATATTAATCATCTCCCACATCCATTTGGGAAGTTTTATATTATGATCCAAGCCACTGGGCTTTTGATGCTCTACCTTTTCTTGTTGGAAATCTGGTCATATAGCAACGAACTCTGCAATGCCCTTGTTCATACTACTCCACCATTACACCTCTCTCAAATCACAATACATCTTCATGGAACTCAGATTAATGGAATGTCTGGAGCTATGAATTTCCTCCATGATCCTCACTTGGAGTTCATCCACCCTTAGTAAAGAAAACATTTTTGATAACATAATACGCCATCTCCCCCTTGTTCAAAAGAAAATTTTCTTCTTTTTTGCTTATGATCATTTGCCTTCAACTCAAGAAAATAGGATATTGATCTTTCTTTTCTTTCACCTCTGCCACGAATGAAGACTCAACCCCATTCATCACCACTACTCCTCCTTCTTAGTAATCCATTAGGCGAACTCCCACGCGTGCAGGTCTGTGCACATCCTTTGCTAGTTATTTCTTTTCTTCATCAAAAGGGGTGGTACTACCCATGACAACCTATTCAAGGCATCAACAACAACATTAACCTTAGGTGGGTGGTAAAGAATACTCATGGGATAATACTTGAGTAACTCTAACCACAATATTTGTGTGAGATTAAGCTCTTTATGAGTAAACATATACTAAAGATTGTTGTGATTAGTGAATATATCTACATGAACACCTTACAAATAATGATGCCATATCTTCAAACAAAATACTATAGTAGCCAATTCTACATAATGGGTTTGGTAGTTCTTCTCACGAACTTTCAACTAGCAAGACTCTAGAGAAATAAGCTATAACTTTCAATTCTACATTAACACACAACCCAAAAGAACTCTAGATGTATCACAACACACGACGAAATATTCAGTACTTTATGGTCCCTGAAACCATGTTTGACATGCATCAAGCTTACACCCTAGCTGGAACTAGCTCTCGAGAACCAGCAAATCCTTTGCCTAATTAACTTACTCAGTTAAAGAGAATAATACAAGGAGTCAATGCATCTCTACTAAACTATTAATAACTTAGAACGTTCAAGAATCAAACATTCAACTTCACCAAAGTGGAAACTAAAGCCTTAACATTTGAAAAACGATTTAAAAATAACTGAACTAATAACTCTATATGAAGCCTCTAAAACAAGGAGGGATGTCGGGACAAGATCCCTTATCATCCTAACAACAGAATACTAGAAAACAATGTTAAAAGGAGCCCTTTAGAAAGCAATAAGGTTGACCAATTGAATCTAAGTGCTTCACTGGATCAACGAGGCGCTGGATGTTATCCTGGCTACCTGTGTCTACATTATAAGATGAAGAAGGCCAAATGACATCAATACATTAAATGTATGAGTATGCGAGCGAAAATCTAAAGATAACATAAGCTTTAAAGGAATCTAAAAGAAACACTTATTGTGGCTTTACTTAACTCATGAATAACTCAAGTCAAATGAAGTGTAAAAGCAAAATAATAGTTCAATTTATACAATGAATTTAAAACAATAAATAAAAACTCAATTTGTTAATGAAATGTAATAACAAACTCAACCTTACTCATATAATAAAGTAATATAGTTTTGGTGGGAGATTACAATGCAAGAAAAAGACTTATTTATGATCAACATTTAGGGACGAGCTAATAATCTCGTCGCTAAAAGTATACATATTGGGATGATAATATATTTTCGGTCCTAAAAGCGATATCCTTTTGCGAAGGTACGAAAGCTGGTCCCAAAAAATATTAATAACTAGTCCCAATTGTTATTGAGACAGTTAGTTGGAGACCATACCACCAAAACAACTCTAAGGGGTCGTTTGGTAGAGTGTATAAGAACAATGCAAAATATGGTGTATTAGTAATACTTGCATTACTAGTGCTTGCATTAGTAATACTTGCATTAGTTATGTCTGCATTATTTCTTATATACTGTTTGGTTTGATGTATTAGAAAAAACAAATCTTGCATAATTTATATTTAAAAGTGTATGTTTACAAAAATACCCTTTACACTTTATTTCTTTATATACTTTCTTTCCAACAAGGTTCTTTGCTAAAACATCAAAAAAAAATTCTTTGCTAAAACATTATTTCTTCCTATTCTTCTTCTTTTTCAAGCTCAGTTTCCTCCATCATTTCTACTCCACCATCAAACCCTAAACCTATCCCCTTCCTTCCATCTCTACTCCAACCAGAAACCATTCAAATTAATACT